ACCGATGTATATAAACGGAACCACTCGACCAACCAAATATTACTTTATACTAATAATCCTTTTTATACCCATAAATACAACTTTCTCCCAGTTAATGTAGGCGACACGCAATATTGAGTACCCACATACGAGTCTTGAAGACCACAACAACGGACCATTCGAAAATTACATTGTGACAGAATATTACGCCGTATAAACATGTCTGTTGACGCACATACACCTAGACTAGAAGGCGACAAGCAATAATAGGCAGAATCAAGTCAGATAATTACTGCTGGTAGTTATTTATTTTACATTATGTATAGCTACATTCTGACAGTAATCGGAATACCTGCATCTTGACGAACAATTGTCCTCCACAATGTTCCTTAGGCATGAGACATCCACCGTGGTACAGCGAGATGATTCAGAGCCGCGAAAGACAGATCAACAAACACGTTGACTGTTTCATTGGTAATACACATGTCAGACGTCACTGTACTCCATTTCAGGACAGGCAGAAGACGTCGTGTGACAGGACGAAATGGATAGCCATCACCGAACCGATACTGAGCATCGATCGCGTTACACTGGAAATGAAAACAAAAATCGTTAGTCTCATCATGGATTAAGTAATATCAGAGGGAATTTTGACAGTCACATTGGGATATGAGACTCTAGTCCACAGTATCATCACAACACGAGAGCACATTACACACAACACTTACCACGCCGACTCACAGGATCCACGAGCTTGGCATGCGTATATATACGTTGGTAGTTATCCCGGAACGGCAAGTTATTTAACCCACTTAAACAAACCACGCGAACGATCAATAAACTTGTTTATGACACACTTATCTGTGTGACATATGATTGTGAATCACATTGAATTCTGTTTGCTATGCATATGACTTTTTATACTCGTACTCTGTTGCACAACCATAGTTATCAAAGAAGCATTGACGGCACCGTGATACCTCCTAAACTTTCCAAAATAGTTAAATGTTATTTTACGTGGACATTACTGAAACATTCCTTAATCCATGATGAGACTAACGATTTTTGTTTTCATTTCCAGTGTAACGCGATCGATGCTCAGTATCGGTTCGGTGATGGCTATCCATTTCGTCCTGTCACACGACGTCTTCTGCCTGTCCTGAAATGGAGTACAGTGACGTCTGACATGTGTATTACCAATGAAACAGTCAACGTGTTTGTTGATCTGTCTTTCGCGGCTCTGAATCATCTCGCTGTACCACGGTGGATGTCTCATGCCTAAGGAACATTGTGGAGGACAATTGTTCGTCAAGATGCAGGTATTCCGATTACTGTCAGAATGTAGCTATACATAATGTAAAATAAATAACTACCAGCAGTAATTATCTGACTTGATTCTGCCTATTATTGCTTGTCGCCTTCTAGTCTAGGTGTATGTGCGTCAACAGACATGTTTATACGGCGTAATATTCTGTCACAATGTAATTTTCGAATGGTCCGTTGTTGTGGTCTTCAAGACTCGTATGTGGGTACTCAATATTGCGTGTCGCCTACATTAACTGGGAGAAAGTTGTATTTATGGGTATAAAAAGGATTATTAGTATAAAGTAATATTTGGTTGGTCGAGTGGTTCCGTTTATATACATCGGTAGCGTTTTATTCTAATTGGGTCGTTAAGCTGTCATCTGAACCAGAGCTCCAACTACTTTCGAGATCTGTGCTTTTTTCGACTGGTAGCTAGGATTACTAACGGTTTCATTTCTAAAAGTGTGGGTGACATTTGTTTTATACGTTGTGGTTTATTACGTCTGGCAGTTTACTCACGAATTGTCACTAGATGTTAGGCGGATTCGTTTGGTTTACATATAGTACCAGCCCTCTGGCAACGTAATGGCGGAAGCAGGGATCCTGTTAACTTGGTCAGGGATTCACGACTGATCTGTACCTTTGAACGTGAAGATTTCCGTAGCAATGTACGGTTTCATCTCAGCTCTGTCTTTCTGAAACTCGAGAGGCCTCATACAAGACTAAGATTTCATTGCACTTATGTGTACTGCTTGACGATGGTGTCGTTTACAACTGCATGACTACAAGGAGCAAATAAAGTAAAAGGTTCTTGTTATAGAAAAGGTCGTTTCAATTTAGTATGACTTCAAACAAATCGTGGTTGGTTTTATACTAAATGGGGCTGTCTAAGCTTATCTCGCTGCTATTACTGTGAAAACAGTGACCTAGCCAATTCTTAAATCATCTGATATGACTGGGGACTTGGTGTCTAAGTGGTTGTAATATCCATTTAGTGAATAAGTCCCTCATCACTCAAGTCGTTAGCTTCTTCGGAATTTATGATTACTGAAGTATTCAAACCTTTGCCTGGATTTCCTGTGTCACGTTTCTACCAGGGATGCTCTCAACACACAAGCTGGACGGTGAATCTTCACACATGCACAGTCGTAATATTTAGAGACAGCTTTAGCCTGACCTTAGAGTCATCGAGTTTTGAATTTATGTTTGAGGGGTGTGCCAGTGAGTTGTTAATCCTTGAGATAACAATGTGAGGACGAGGACGTCACGGGTTGTGGACATGCACTACCAACATTGATGCACAACCTAGTTACTTATACGATGCGACTAAACTATGGGGCTGATCCAATGATGTAATTGCCGTTATTTTTAGCTCAATGAAAATGTTCGTGTTACACGGGAAATGTCTTATAGAGGTTGGTGATTATTCAGTAGGTAGGTCGACAATCTTGGGCACGTTTAAGTCATTATCATTCTACATGTTTAGAGTACCTTGTTGTTTTTCTTCATGTTCTCATATCGCTCATACGTTTTTAGTCTTGTATCATGGACTGTGTAGTTGAATTAATATGCGATGAATAGCTATCTCAAGCTCATCAGCTTAGTGGTGGTTGCTGGGTCTCTCCTGGAGAAGATCAAAGACTTTGTCGTAGTTCTTAGATAGAAAGTAATGATAGATTCCAAATATCCCTCATGAGAACCAGTATTTAGTCGAGTGCCCCAAGGCTGTGTTCTAGATTCTTTACATTTTATGCTGTGTAAAAGAACTCCCGAGTATCGTTAAGTTTCAGATACTGTTGATGTCAAAGTTTAGCGAGAAGTATCATGGGACGCAGGTGCATGTGCATTTCAGGACGGCTTAGACGTTCTGGTTAGCTAGTCTAAAGTGTGGCTGATCCATATCAACGCCACTAATATATGTTCACATGTACACTGGAGATATAAAGATAAACAGCTACTGCATTGGAAAAGCGTAAGTGCCCTTAATTCTTTAACAGTGATATAAGGGTGATAGTGAGCCACGGTCATAAGACCACAGTCCACTACCGTGTGATTGCAGCCAAGAAGTCCAGAATCCTATGGGCTTTAGGGTTGATATTCACCAAGTTGAATACAAGTACGTTACAAATGAGAAATCTGCGTTTCGGCTTCAGGCCCCTGTTCCAAAGGTGACTCGGATATTGTGATGCAAGTACAGAGGACAGCTACCCGTGCAATTTCAGGATTCCGATGTTCGCCATACACTGTGGTTAGGGGAGCCAGACCTCTTTACGCTCTTAACACAAATTAAAGGGTGATTCGATTTTGATGTATGAAATACTTATTAGTGGTTTTGAGCCTGATCTATCCTCTCTCCCTCTTATCAAATTAGAATAACCCGGAATAGCAGGCGAGTTTGAAAGCCATGAACGAACCAAATACTCGTGTAATACAGGTATTCTCACCGAATAGCCAACTCTTGGAACCTACTACCTGAAGAAGCGGTGTCCGTATCTTCAAATGACTCATTGGAGAGTCGTCAAAACACTCACTCAAGTTTATTAAAAAAGAACTAACTCAAATCGTCATTCTTGTGTCTCAGTGCGCACTTCGGAATCTGGATATCATCTGCGGTTTATATTTTAACAATTGTTGTCCACTGTAGCACTTATGCACCATACAATCAAATTTAGATATTATAGTTTCTGTACGTATATGTGCTAAAGATCTAACAATCTCCTTTCAAGAACTATAACGTGTCTGTGTTAGTTTGTTTTTTACTTTATATGAATTGCTTACCAACTGCAGCGAAGTCATTTGTTGCACTATTTGCAGACCACACAACAATTGAGAGACCTATACGTAGTATGTCAGATCAAATAATTTTACAGAATGACTCGAACTCCCTGGCTGAATGAATGTGTAGGTGTTAACTAAAATCTAATTCTCACAGGAGTGTGGTTGTGCAAATAAATACGACGGTTCATATAATTTGACAGAATTAGTGAAATTCTGTCACTTAAAGTTAAAAGACTTTACTAATCTAGGAGTCATAAGCATCGGCCTTAGAAACACCAGTAACTGTAAAGATACATCTTTTAAAGGCCTCAGGATCTAATGGACTATTCTCAATTGATTTCATAACTTCGACGAAAATATGTTTAGGGTGTTTTATCTCTGTTTTGTAAGGCCGTACTTGGAATTTGAGATTTCAACAGCCGGTTCTTGTTTCAAGAATGAGGTGAATATGGTAGAGTGAGTTCAACGGCAAGAGATCAAAATGATGAAAAAATCTCTGAGCTTTCATATGAAGATGAACTGAAACGCATCAAACTATTTCCATAATCTTCCTGCAGTCTATGTGGTGATCTAATACTGACTTACCGTATACTGATCGATGATCTTGGTATTATTGTGTCCTATCTTTTCCCTCCTCCTAGAACTGATCGTTTGAGAATAAATTCCAAAAACCGAGATCAAGTTGTTTACATCTTGAGTTCCGTGTCTCTCTCATGGAGTACTGAATTATTAGAATTCTCAACCAGAACAATTAATATCTGTTAATATATTCAGAGCAAGATTGGATGTTTATGGCACCTAGGTATGTGATGTTCAATATGTATTAGCTGATTTATTAATCTTACAACTGTAGGCCGATAACTGTTTGTATAAAAATTGTATCTTGATGTGTTGCGGTTGGTACGTCTTATGCGCTACATCTGTCTCATGAGTTTTATTTTCACATTGGCATTTACTTCTAGGTACACCATAATGTCAATTTTCAAAACGTTATTACTTTTTACCACACATTTTGATTTCTTAGGAAGATGTCAGATTTCTAATAATCACGACAGTGTTCGAACTGTTCACTTAATATAACAGTTCTGGCAGAATTTGTGAATACAATAATATTTCTCAGTATATTATAAGTTCTAAGTTTGGTTTGTGTTAGCTGGAATGCGTGATGTGATCGTCATATAATTACCGATATGTTCCTTTACAAAAGTAATAGTCTTGTTATACATCACTTTGAAATTCCTCTTATGTTTAGTGCTTTCGGTTAACAACGATTGTAAATTAGTATTCTTCTTTGAAGAGGAATTCTAGCAACTTTTATCCATTCTGCAACTGGTCAGCATGTCACAGATGACAGAAGAGCTAACAGAAATATGTATTAGTCCAAGTTTTGTTGTGAACTATATAGATTTAAGGTAAAGCTTAGTCTGTAAACTTCATCCCAAGTAATTTTCACCAATATATTCTCCTTAAATACACTTTGGAAGTGTTACTGGGCTCTTTTAGTATTTTTCTTTCCATAAATTTATTCACGCAGCTGTTAATTAGTTTCCTGGTGTTCTGAGGCTTATAATTCACATAAACTCTACCACTCGGTTATTTTGCAGAAAGTTTATCAGCAAAACATGGTTAAAGTTGCTATTGGGTTTTATACAGCGAGAGGGAGTCATTAGATGTAAGTTTGTGGGCTTGTGTGAGAATCATGTAGTGTGTTTTCTAAGTATTCTGATGCAGGACTATAAATTTATGGACGAGATAACAAAATTAAGGACAATGAGTCTTTAATTTTAACGTGGAATTTATCCATCTATATTGTTAAATGGTATTAAGTTATCATAACGTGATGAAAACTCATTTTAACGCATAACCCGCAATTTTAAATTTAAATCCCTCCTACCAATTTATGACTTTTGACCCTGATAGGTGGGCGAATTTTTCCAGGGTCATTTTAAGTTCCCTAAAAAGGTTATCCATAAATTTTAGTATCACCTATTCTAATCAGAATGTGTGATTTTAAAATAATGTTTGATGCTAGCAGAAGGAAATAGTATCATACGAATACATCACATTTCTTCATAAATTTTTACTGTTTGGAACTAAAACTCGAAACACGTTTGTTTGACATTCATATTTATTCGGCAGCTACGTTATCACCGCTTCGATTCAGTGACTTATTGTACCGTCTATAACAAAGTGATTATAACTGCGAAAATTAGTTATTGGATGAGACTTCAACACTTTTCCAATGTTGTACAATATTGTAGCGCACAATCATAGTGCATTGCTTGTCTCTAATAAACAAAGAAATATCTCAACTTTATCTTGATAGTCAACTACAAAATTATGTAAACTCCTTTAAGCCGCAATGTGTGAGGGCTATTATTACTTACAGTTGATCAAAATCAGAGTAGGCGGAGCCTTATATGTAAAAATACTGTTTTCAGAACGTTGGGTATTAACTACAAAGTTTCTAGCCTCAACTTATTAGCGTTCTGCAGTACGATATTAAAGTTATCCACAATCATAGACTAGTCTCACTTGATCAGCTATAAAACCTGACGTAAATATCCGTCAAGCTGAGTTCTCATACCACATTGACATATCGAGAGGTCAAATGAATAGTCAGAGAGCAAGAATAATGGTATCAATAACAGCGTGAAAGAATAAACATTAGGAAATGCTGTTTGGAAGAGATGAGTTTGAGGAATAAAATTCAAAAAGTAGCATTAAAGCTAAAGACTCGGGAAAAAATAGAGAGTGAATACATTTGCTCCACTATGACATTCTGAGCCACATCTCTTCGTTGAACTCACTAAATATGACGCTACTTGTATAACGAGGTAAGTGGTGTATCGAGTTGTTTGATCCTGGAATATCCAATAACGTGAAGTTACCTTTCATCATTTAATTTAATTGTGAAAATGTTTTGTGTGGCGCATATATATCTGGTGTCCCCCTTTACTAATATTTATGTGTTCATGAAGTAAAAGTAAGTAACCTTTCGTCATAGGTAATATAACTCGCATTTGGTCCATTGGATCGGTTTATTAAACTATGTAGGCATCTGATGTTCCAAACAGTAACGAGTTTTCAGTTATATTTTCAACATTTGGTTTAGTCACTGTTTTCATGAATGATAATATACTTATATTCCTTTCCCAATTATTCCTCAGCTTCAAGATCATGCTTTGAAGTTTGACAGATTATGCAATTTTCATTAAGTCTTCATAAGTTGCTCCTAGTTATTGTTCATGAAGTTAAAAAATCTTTGAATGAGTATCCAGGATATACCATTTGCTTTATATATCTCGACTTTTGTTTTATGAAAAACATCCAAAACACATCACTTTCCAAGTTTTCAGCTTAAAATGTGTTCATTGTAATTTGGAATGAAGTTGTGAATTAGTCTGTTTCAGGTTCTGCGTAATGATTCATTGTCGAAAATCTCTGAAATCTGATATTCCACTTTACAAAATAGCGTATTAAACCAATGTGGTCACTATAATTGTGCTTAGATTCTATTTCTACCTCAACGATCATTTCGGTGCATGATCTCATTAGTACTTGTTAATTTCACACACACTGACCATACTTCGATGGCTGATTATGCAGTACTGACAGTATTTTTTTAAAATTCCCAACAGTCCTAGTACCACGAGGAGAGGGACTGCTGTGATAAATACCATACTTTGAATGAGCATTTGAATAACCACTTGCGTCTAAATTCATTCAAGTTTGAAAAAGATAAGTAACTTTTTTGTGTCAATATCAGGATTCCTTCTACCATCAATCCATTCCAACCGAGTCAACAAATTAGGTAAATAGATTTGTTAGATCATTTACTTACCTCACTTATTACTGATAAACTAAGTTTTGTTGCAAGTCATTTATGAACCACAGGTATATATTTAGCAGATTCATAGCACATCCTGGAAATTCTCACGTATTTACCTAAAATATCTAGTAAGCTTAATTCTCTCATCATATAACCATAGACAATTTATTACCGAGTAAGGTCATAGATGAAGTTATTATAGAAGGTATTAAAAAGGATACTCAAGCGATAAAAAAGTCAGTCAAATTCCATCTCAGTAGAATAAGTTGTTCACTTGTGGAGAAGTTTCAATATCTCACTAATGATGTTGTCTGGAAAGACAGTAAAATCTTCACTATTAGGTCATCCAGGCCAGACAACATACCATCTCCTGACTTTTTTCCTGGGGAACAAGTCTTCATCATCACCTCATTGATAATTAAAATCTAGTATACCAACGCGTGGATCTTTTCTCAACAATGTTTAATACCAATGTGATACAAAAAATCAACTTATGAGGGATCTCAACACTAAATGCCTGGCGTCTACAAACTAAATGAGTGTCCACTATACTTAGACATAAATATTTGGAGTTTACAACATTTTTGGGACGGTTCTTAGTTTTCCTGGAAAAGTCCTTTGGTGGTCCTCATGAATGTGTACATGATATTGTACCAAAATTATATATTTCAACCGCTTTTTGACAGAAAGAGAGAAAAATTAAGTGAAACGAATCGTAACTTTAGGCCACTCAAAGTGGAACACTTTCCGTCCATTCGATTAAAATCTACTCACAAATCCTTAACCAATGCAAAAGTTCACTATCGTAACATATAACACTATAATTTGGAGCTGCAGCTCAGTAGTTAAGACGTCCAACTTTCAAACACCAGGTCACAAGTTCGGACTCCGCTCTACTTATTTCGAATTGCGCAACCGAATAGTATCAATAGCTCCCGTACTTCGAGTGTTGCACAAAACTAAGTATGTTAATGTGTATGTAACTGACGAATAAATCGAATAAAACATATTTTGACCATTGTAATACAGTAATTATAGGTTTGTAAATGTAGAGCTTGATTATGAAGCTATAAAAAACAATTATTCGTTCAAATATCTCTTGATTTCGAAATCCCGTACCTTTTTATTTATTAAAACTGTATGCATCCATATTATTCTTAGTTATTATTATTATTGCTATTTTAGAAATGAGTACTGAAAATGCTTCAAAAAATTGGGAGCTTACTTTATATGAATTACATCGTAAGCCACAAGAGCCTATTACCGATGGAACAGTTATTGCTGTTAGTCCAAGAAGTTTAAAGAGTGAACTAATGTGTCCAATATGTTTGGATATATTAAAAGTGACTATGACAACAAAAGAATGTTTACATCGTTTTTGCTCTGAATGTATTATCACCGCTCTTCGTAATGGCAATAAAGAATGTCCGACATGTCGTAAAAAGTTGGTGTCGAAAAGATCGTTAAGAAGAGATCCAAATTTTGATGCGTTAATTTCAAAAATTTATCCAAGCCGTCAAGTAATGCTCATTCCCAACTCCTTTTATGACTTATTTACTGTATATGTATATTGTAGGTTATACCGATCTGGGAGGTTGGAGCTTAAAGCATCTAATTCGTAGAGTTGTTTTTCTGAACAATATTTTATCTATATTTATTTATTTATTTAAACACGAACTTTGGTACAAGGAGGAACCCAATAGATATTCAACTTGTGTGAGGGCTGTGATACTGTCCAGGTGCCCAAACTGAAGCAGATGGTTTTTTTAGGGGGCCACACCCGGAGCCTTTGACCTAAAGGTCTGATCTACAAGGCAGTGGGGCATCGTGAGGAGATGCAGTCCCATGGTAGCCGGTGACGAACGATTGATTCATACGCTATTTGTTCCCTCAGGATACTGGAGCCAGCCCATGTGCACCATTGGTTTGGAATCAGAGTTTTCCAACTCCCCACTAGGTGGACACGGAGGGTCCACCAACCCAGTCAAAGCGCCGGACATTCGCTTTTCGTCCTCTCAATTTCGCAAACAACACCGTTGTGACGAGAAGGCAGTGAGTAGGACTCCCCTGTCAATGCTTGTATGCACGTTGTCATGTGAGAGGATTTCGAGAAGGAGAGTGGATTCTTCCCACTTTTGACCATACCAGGGTATCTGGGGCCGGTCTATTTCGGTTCGGACAACCAACTAGTATCACTAGCACTTAAAAAATGTGACTCGTAGCTGACTGCAGAGTTGTACAGTTTATCACTAAATAATGCTGAAAGTAGGAATTAATTGTATGTTTTCTTTAAACATCAGAGTGAAATAAACATTTGACGATTGTTTCACGGTTTTTATACAAATCTAAATAATAATACATGTGGTAATGTTCAGCCTAGAGATTATCTGTTTATCAAATTCTATTCAGTTATTTGTAATTATCGTAGGTGGAAATCTTTCATATTTTGGACTTGAATGGCCACTCTTCGATGCTTAAAGATCTAAAGATCTTAAGGTTCAACTACTTTTTTGGGTTTACTTTTAACACTGATATTTTATTGAGTATGGATGAATAATGTTTGTTGTGTAGTCCATTTTAAGTAGATGGTCTTAACTAACCCTCTGTCCAATCATACTGCGAGGTTTTCACGATCTCATGGGCTTGTACGGCCAAAAGTAAAGAAAGTCTGCTCTCTAGGAGCGCTCCCACTAACATGCGTTTATGGCACCTGTCAGGGAAATTCTCTCTGCCTTACGCTGGAGGGGCTTTTGTTCACAAAAGTGAAAAGACGGAGAGCGAACGTCCGGTATCAAAACCTGGTCGGGGGATACAGAGAATCCATCTAAAGGAGTTGGAAAACCCGGCTTCCTAACCGATAGTGTTTATTGTTTTCAGATTTCTAAGGGAATAAATTGTGTACGAACTTTTTTTCGGTCACTGACTAATACGGTACAGCAGTTCCTAATGCTGCTTCACCGCCGTCAATTAGACCTTTGGGTCAAACGCTCGTAGAGTAGTCCCTTATGAAATTCACTTTGGATGCCCGAGTGGTATTCCAACCTACACATAAATATTTTCATGTGGCGCACTTTTTTGTATCCAGTTTCGTTAAACTTTTTGTGAATTAGATAATATAATTGTTCGTGAGCAGGGAAAACATCCTTAAAGATTTGACCAATGTAATCTTTTGCATAGAGCGGTTGATTAATAGATACAATAGGAACCCACTAGCATGTGTAATTAATCTTTTGGTATCACTGTCACCACCAAACGCGTAACAAACATCAGTTGTCGGTTTTCTGCACTGAATATTTTCTAAGTCGTCAAACGTAACGTGTGAGTCAATAGTTCTCTGAGGACGTTATCTCTAAACTGTAACTGCATAGTTAGGGACTTGCTGTTGATGATTTGAACCCATAGTTTCGAAAATCTATGTTTGTAATAAACTGTTTAGGTTATCCGTTTCCCATGTAGATATAATTGAAGTTATTCAGTGTTTTCTGTTCGACTGTATATATGTATATGTATATGTCCATTGGTTCATAACGAGGTACTGCTTTTATCAAGTTTCTTTAGTACTGAAAAATTACATTACTGGAAATGTGTGTGTATTATCCTATTCAAGCACGTTTCTTATAGATATTCTTTCTGATGAACCCATCTACTTTCCTTGTAAGTAGAACAGCTAAAAAGGTCATTCCACATTCACATATATTCTCTTTTTTCATGTGGTTGACTGTGTTTCGTCAAATTGTTTCTGAACAAATCTCTAGTTAGCCTGTGTTACTTCATTTTAAAGGAAAAAAGACTAAATGAGGGTATCATGTGTGTGTTAACAGTGAAATGTAATTTTTATTAAAAGTGAAAAGATGTAACAATTCAAATATATCGCTAAAACAGCCTAATTACAATTCCGATTTTTTTGTCCATTTCTTGGAAGAAAATGTATTTTATTTGCATGGGTTTACGTTTTCCGGTTGTTGATATGTTAAAGACTATAATTGATCAGTCTCTATTGACGTACATGCATCGTTAATGAATTACCTCGACATTAGTATTTATTCACAAGTTTTTGTTAAAGTTTGATGGTGTCTTTCAGTGAACCTTTGAAGCAAAAGGCACTGAGTCTAAGTTTTAGTGAGAATATCAACACTGAGATGTAGTTACATTCAACCGATGAATCCTAAATCGAAGGAAACATACATTTTGCATTCCACTATTATCCACGATACAACTTTAATGAAAACGTATTTGGCTCAAACTGGCAATCCATCTTCAATCATTAATTTGAATGCATTTATATCGGTCTCCCCCAAATGCCCTGGTATAGGCGAGAGTAGGGAGAACCTGCCTTCTCTCTCGAAATGCTCTCACATGACAACGTGCATACAAGCATTGACAGGGGAGTCCTACTCACTGCCTTCTCGTCACAACGGTGTTGTTTGCGAAATTGAGAGGACGAAAAGCGAATGTCCGGCGCTTTGACTGGGTTGGTGGACCCTCCGTGTCCACCTAGTGGGGAGTTGGAAAACTCTGATTCCAAACCAATGGTGCACATGGGCTGGCTCCAGTATCCTGAGGGAACAAATAGCGTATGAATCAATCGTTCGTCACCGGCTACCATGGGACTGCATCTCCTCACGATGCCCCACTGCCTTGTAGATCAGACCTTTAGGTCAAAGGCTCCGGGTGTGGCCCTCAAACAAAACCACCTGCTTTGGTCTGGGCACCCGGACAGTATCGTAGCCCTCACACAATTAAATGAAATGACAATTTTTTGTGTGGCGCATATATATCTGGTGCCCTCTTGTACCAAAGTTTGTGTTCAAATAAATAAATAAATAATTTATTTCTGTCGTAGAACTTGCCAAGATTTTATCAGAACTTGTGATTTTATTTAATTATTTGTATGTTTTAATATAATGTAAGTGTCTTTCTTTACTCTTCATTGGTTCAATTTATATATAAACTGTCTTTTTAGTTTCATTTCATCAGTAATTATTCCGTTTTTTTTAAAAATTTTTATCATCAATCAAAAAAGGAGTATGAAGCACATCAAGATAAAATTTTAGCACGTTTAAATCGTCAACATTTAAGTGCAGCATTGACAAGATCACTAGAACAACAATTAGGCTTAAATGGCAACAACAATGCTACTACTAATAATAGTAATAGCAGTAGATCACGAAATTCAACCAACACTGGACGTAATCAAACAGTCAATAATAATTCTGGTAATGGCGGAACAAGTGAAGTACATACAGATGCTGGAATAAGTGAAGAAGAAACACCGTCAAACGTAAGTTTTATTTCTTTAAGGGGCTTTATGGTGACTGGTTTAATTTGTAGATAGTAGTTATCACAGATTGATCTCATTTGGAGTACTGAGGACTGAACAAATATTTCCTTTCAGTATGAAGCTCCTCAGCAGTGCGCACCCATGACCCCAGGGCTTTCAGTCTTGAACTATCAGGGCCATTATGTCTGTGCTCAGTGGTAAAATTCCTATTTTATCAACTTACAACACGATGTGATGGCAATCCAAGGCTATCTGTGGCGACTGTTTCGTTTCCAACATGCCTGAACTCTACCAGCTATAACTTCGCTAGAACTTCAAGAAGATCTTGAATTCAGTCACTGCTTAGCTACTTTTGAATATCTCACGCCTATTCAGATTGAACTACGTTAATTCTGTAAAAGTGTTTGATGAAAATTGTTAGTAGGCTAATACATCGTTAACGTTTCTTCGCACTCTTTTGACAATTAAGGGAAATGGGTCATTCACTGGAGACGGAATAAATAAATAAAATTCTGAAAATGATTGTAAAAATCATACCGGTTTACAGGCATTTATTAAAGATCCTAAACCACTGATAATACTGAGACGGCTTTTAAACCAAGTGTCCTACGGGCTCTAACGACTGATCACGATTATCATGTGGATCCATACTGTGTAGTTTGTACCTATCAGCACAACTCAGGCCAACATCTATTAACCTCATGGATTGATATTATATCTTAGTTTGAGCGTCTTACAATGCCATTAGTGACTGTCGTAAACGCGACATGGCTGTTATCTCATCTAGTTCAGCTTTGTCTTATGCCTAAAACCCACTTAGTTGCTTAAGTATTATTCGCTATGCGAACTAATAACGAAAACCAGTTATTAGTTTATTGAGTTTTCTTGTTATCAATTGACTAGGCGGAAATTGATCGGCTTTTAGTACGTCTTAGGCTTTTTGCGCATGTGTTTGAAGATTACCACTATGAGTTTCATTCTTCTAATGCTTGTTAGCAATATAATACAGGATACACTCTTCTTAAAAAACCTTATTAGTATCGTCAGCTAGATTTACTTGGATTCTAATATAAACCTGAAAGTTACGGATATTGTTTTGTGGTTTTTTCATCTTCTATGTTGGATAGTATATTTGCGGTCTTTCATTATCATTCTAAACAATATTATCATCGCCCTACTTCACTTCAACATGAATTAGGCGTTGTTAATGTTGTTCAGATTGATAGTGAAAACTTTGAGATTAAGCCATTCAACTGAGACGATGTGAATATCACCAAAAGTATCCCCTTGAACTGCAAATCTTTCTCATCATTTCTAATCAATAAATATTTTACAATAGTAATAATGAAAATAATTTAATCAGGGGAGGGTTTTGTAGGTATTATAGTAATTTAATGGTTGAATTCATGAGTCAATTGAAGGTAGACGTCCATGGAAAACTTGGAAGCATTGGACGTCCATCTCGTCCTAGTACGGGACTCCTCAGCAGCGCGCATCCACGATCCTGCCTCGCAAGATTCGAACTCAGGACCTATCGGTGGTCTAGATGTTAAGCGTTCGAGCGCGAGACCGATAGGTCCTGGGTTCGAATCCAGTGGGGGTAGAATCGTGGATGCATGCTGCCGAGGAGTCCCATGCTAGAACGAAACGGCCATCCAATGCTTCCAGGTTTCCCATGGTGGTCTAGCTTCAATTGACTCATGAATTCAACTATTAAAATAACTTGACTTTCTTAAACCTCACATTACTGTCTATTCATTATCTGTGTTTTATTTCTGATTCCCTGTGATGTTGGCAATTTCATCTTTTCTTTTTCCAGTTTATGAGTAATGGTGCTTGTTCAGCACGACGTGTCTCATCTACATCACATCAAGTAACTAATAATTCGGATACTGAAAGTGGAATGGATACAAATTCAATTGGTGAAAATAGTTCTGTATCCGATTTACCAGTTTTACATTATCGTAACAATACATCAGCTGCTTCTATGTTTACTACAACTGCTGGCGGTGTTGCTGATTCAAATCATCCTCATACTCAATATAATTGTTCCACGGATCGTAATATTATTAATAACAATAATAATAGTAGTAGTATTTTACATAATAATAGTAATTCAACCTCATCTATGTTATCACCATCTGTATTTCCTGAAATTGAAGTCTTATTAAAACCACATCCACGTTATTCTTCACAGTATACCGCCTCCACTTCTATGGCTTCATCTACTTCGTGTAGTCCATCTACATCAACAGGACATCGTAATAACAATAATGCTAACAGTAGTAATGGTAATAATAATACTAATAGTAATTACAATGATCAAGGAAATGGTTTAATCAAATATCTTAAAGCTCCGACAATAACTACAGGTTAGCCTGATGCACAGTTTCTACATTTAATAACTTTTATTCATTAATTATCAGAAGGGGTTTTGTGGATATTTAGTATTTATCATAGTTGAAAGCGTGAGTCAATTGAAGCTAGACCACCATGGAAAACCTGGAAACACTCTTGAGTGACAGATACTAATGGTAACCATAATAATACCTGCTCACCCAAAACTAAGTAATCAGTAGCTCAGTTGTTAGAGTCTTTGATTTGTGACACTACATCACAAACTTGAACGCCGCTCCACTTAATTCGGTTAACCGAATCGCACTACTAGCCTTCACATTTACAGTGTGAACGCAAGCCATGTAAACGAACTTACGCATGGTATATTGCAAGCAAACATCAATAGTTTACATTTTAGTTAAGTTTTTCTCTGATAGAATATGTATAAATAACTTATAACGCGAATAGTTCTATTCTTTTTGTCCATAATCTACAACTCATGGATTATCCATCTGAAAGTTATTAATCAAGATAAATGAGAAGAAGTGGTAAACTTTTTTCAGCCGGTTAATTCCAAGTTAATGATTCTTTTAGTGGAGTTATGTTTATATGTACTGTAACATTAAAAAGTCTACATCTTCTCCACTGCTATCGATTATAGACTATGCCACTTACGGTTTCACCATATAGACCTCAATCAAAATATTAGCACACTTCCCATTGCTATTCACATACACAGATTTCATAGAATTATGTCTCGTTATGAGTTGGCCTTAAGTCATCTTTACCCAGTCTGATTAGCGTAGCACATTATCTTTGACATCGGTTGGAGATATGTCACGTCCCTCTTCAACCCAACCTACTCAGTGGTTTTATCCGATGTAAGCATTATCTCGAAGATGTTTGGATCAGACACTAATAAATTATCCATGTCTTCTTCAAATGATCCTTTTAAGAGCCATATAATAATTAAGAGCAAACTACTGTTTGATATACTTTCTCTATATTAGACACAGTCTTTAGAGTAAACTATAAAACCGTTTCATTGAAATAAAACTGAAATTTATAGGTTAATTTTGACATTTTTCAACATGATCCTTTTCTAGCTACAAGGTATTTCTTTATTGTTTTTCTTCCTCCAATTTAGTTGATCATTTATGTAGATATTTAACTGTACGTATTAATCTTCAAAGAATAAACAGAGAAATATCTGGTAAGTGAAATCATAGTTATATTTCTTTACTATTGTATGAATAAAATCATTTATTGGCATAAATAATTTTAAAATATAGTCCAACCATTGGCGAGATTATAATTTATGGACGAGCCAATCAGAAGCGTTTGTGGGTTTCAAGGTCATGGCGCCTATTTCAGTACCTGATGCTCATGTATGATCGGTTCACAGAGAATTTTAGAGAAGACTTGACAATTAAGCGGCTACAACAAATGAAACTACTAAGAAGTTGCTTTATTTGTAATTACGAGTATTAAATGACTTGTAGACCTTGTGCAGACTACCGTGATGTTGTCCTTCGATGTAATAAAGTTGAAGGAAGACGTTTGCTAGAATAGGAATCTTTATCGCTCGATCCAGATTGAGACTAAGGCATATTATAATAATTGCCTCAAACTGTATAATAAAAGCACCAGTAACATTGGCTGCAATAATCGCAAATGTTACTGAAGCGTCGGTTGTTCCGCGGTATGAGTAATGTAGGGACATATCTATAATAAAAATGCCAAACTTACACAGCGGGAGTACACACAAACAATAATGAAGCTATGTGGTCGAGGCTGAGAGCTTTTGTGACCTTATCATGGTTCCAGAGACCAACTATTATGGAGCCATATGGATGAGTTCTCCTATCTTATGCATTACGATCTCGGAACCTTTGAACCGTTTTCTAATATTGACAAGTTTTTGGACCATATAAAAGAAGTGTATCCACTTTAATTATTTGGTTTTGTATAGTGTATTTTTACTCTATGCTGTCTGTTTACTGATTGGCTAACATTTCTCAAGGTCACTTAAGATTCGTTCAAAGGTCGTCCATAAATTATAGTCTCGTCCAACCATTCTATTCTCTTGAATATTTATTTGATTTCGTCTTGATTTAAAATATTATAAATGGTCATATGACCTTATTTCATTCTATGTCATACGTTCTACTGACGAGAAATAATTATCTATATAATTTTCCATTTTATGTTTTTTAAATACATTATGGTCAATATTATGTGGTTGGAGCTAGTCGCTAAGACATCCCAAACTTTTCTTTCTTTCTGTCTGGTACTATTCAGCTATTCGTACTTGCAGTTTTGAGGGGACTGATACTTCTTTATAGATTCTGATCTATGTCAATCAGTTTTACTTTTCGACGTGTTACCACTGTGCTATTTGAACTGTTATTGATTTCATGTAAAGTTCAATTTCACCAAGAACCATAATATCCCTCCGAATTTCAAATACACCTCTCTGTGACGAGTACCGACATGCACTTAACCTAGGTTCAAGGTATCCCACCTATTATCTCTAACCACTTGAAATCAAAATATAGTGTACTCGATATTAAGCCTATTAGACTAAAGATTGCATTCAAGTTTAGTCGATCGAACTAAAGGAGACTAATCATAAATGAAATTGGCTACTACTTAGTAATGGAACAGTAAAAATAATTGCCATTAAAAAAATGAAACTTCTTATTCAGTCATATTAAACGTTATATATCTATACATATTGTAGTGAGCCTATTCCTCGTTTTATAATAATTATAAAAGGAATATTTAGTAGAAAAATTATAGTTTTCTATTGAACGATCATTTTCCCATCTTATTATCTTTAAGTTTCCACTTTATATACAATAACATTTTTATCAGGAGAGGTTTTTATGGAACGACCGGCCAATGCTTCCAGGTTTTCTATGGTGGTCTAGTTCCAATCGATTCATAATCACAACCATTAAAAATAATTTTATATAGTTGAAATCATGAGTCAATTGAAGTTAGACCACCATAGAAAACCTGGAAGCACTGGACGGCCGTTTCGTCCTATTGTGGGACTCCTCAGCAGTGCACATCTACGATCCCGCACTCTCGAGGTTTGAACCCAGGACATATCAGTTTCGCGCGCAAACGCTTAACCACTAGACCACTGAGCCGGCATCCAACGGTTTTAATGTCTAAATTCAACTAATCCACAAAATTGAGCAACCATTCACCAATGTTTTCAGTGATTTGATATCTCCCAACAGACCTAGTTGAACTCCACTGATTACTGCTTCTCACTACAATTCTAGGAAATACCCTATGGAGTCAGTCACTAGTAAGCATATGATCATTATCAGAAGGTGGTTTTGTATACATTTTAAAAATAACATTTCCCTTGAAAATTAAGTTTTGCTTAATTCGTTTAAACTAAAAAAAAATAAACCAAGACAAAATTGATAATTTTTAAAGAATCCAATTACTGTTATATATTTAAATGAATTCATAATCTATTTTATATACAGTAACGTAAACTGTTAATAATAAGATGGAATTGTGCAACATTAATTCCGTCTTAATTCAATTCGATGGTTATTCAGTGTAATATTGATTTTAGTTTTTTCAGTGTTATATTTTATTCGGTCTAACCTTAATTTAATTACGTGTAATGTATTTGTTCAAGATATAATATTCTTGTATTAAATTAACATGGACTATGCTCCGTATGTGGTTTGTTATAACTCTGGACATTTTTCATATATGTGATTTTATTCTAATTAATAATTTATGTTTATTTATTTATTTAAACACATAAATATTGATACAAAGGGGCACCAGATATGTATGCGTCACTTTTTGTGTGAGAGCTATGATACTGCCCAAGTGCCCAAACTGAAGCAGGTGGTTTTTTTAGGGGACCACACCTGGAGCGTTTGACCTAAAGGTCTGATCCACAAGGTAGTGGAGCAACGTCAGATGCAGTACCATGGTAGCCGGTGACGAACGATTGATTCATACGCTATTTGTTCCCTCAGGATACTGGAGCCAGCCCATGTGCACCATTGGTTTGGAATCAGAGTTTTCCAACTCCCCACTAGGTGGACACGGAGGGTCCACCAACCCAGTCAAAGCGCCGGACATTCGCTTTTCGTCCTCTCAATTTCGTAAACAATAATAATGCCACGAGAAGACAGTGAGTAGGACTCCCCTGTCAATGCTTGTACGCACGTTGCCATGTGAGTGAATTTCGAGAGAGAAGGCAGGTTCTCCATACTCTCGGCCGTACCAGGGCATTTGGGTTATAGTTTCATAAGATCATATACATTGGATTATCTATAACTCCAAGAAGTATTTATCGTTTCTACTTGTTAACTTGTTTAATTTCTATTTATTCTTATTTCTTTTAGATGAAAGTGTTCGATTCATCTTATATAGTTATCATGAAAGTACAAATACTTATCAATTATTAGATTCACATATGTCTATTGAAGAAATTAGTCGTGATCAATTTCATGGAGTAAATTATCTTGATTTATATTATGCACGAGATGATATCTTAGATGATAATACCAATAACAATAATAATACCTAATAAAGAAGCAGAAAAAAATACAAATTTGAATCATAATTTATATTGAATATTGAACTTTGAAATTCATTTAAACAATTATCTCTATCTATGTGTGTAATTCATCAATCGCTTAATATAATATCAACATTATTAACATCAATAGTTATAACAATAACTCTATTTCCCATCAATACAATTATCTATTATGTTTAATGAAAGACGTTTCTTTCTCCTTATGTTCCTTATATGTGTGTGCTTGTTTGTAGCATTTGACTTTCTCGTTGTGTTATCTCCTTTGACTTGTTTCCTTGGTTTTAGTTTTGTTCATTTTGTTTGTTTTACCATTGTGTTATATCTGTTTTGTGTACTATCAATGATTAATAGAGTGCCTACTATAAAACGGTGTGTTGCATCTAATTGCTTTTTTTTATAAAAAAAATGTAATTATGTCTCTTATCTAAAATTGTAAATATATTTACTTTTGCATGGATCATTTTAGGTACTACAGATATACTGAATCCTAGTAAGCTACAATTGACACTGGAAGAATTCTATAAACGATGTATTACTTATACTACTGATTAATTTCTGGAACATATATTTTTTGTTTTAATTTATGAGATATTATTTAGTCTCTGACCCATTGATCGTTAACTCGTAATCTTACCTCCTTCTTGTATACGTCTTTTCTCTATACACGTATAGTTACTTTGTACATAATTATTTCTTTTTAAAATCAAAAATGTATAAATTTATTATTATTATTATTACTATTTGTTATATCTTGTGGCCGAGTGGATGCCTAGTTAATGTATGACGTGATAGGACCGCCAATCAGAGGGCAGCGAATTATCGACTGGAACAGTGACACACGAAAACCGTAAGAGCAGTCTAGAGTACATATCGGCCCTGTGATCTGTCTAGCCCAGCCAGTTAAGTTCAAAACACCAATAACAGCCTCTGTGGTATGAATCATTATTCACAAACATACTGGGTATATATACCAAACAGACAGACCACATCGTGCCATAAAGTAGAAAATAACATTGGTATAATATTTAGCCAAATGTGGCTGTGAATAGGGGGAAAGTAATCAATAAACTGATGATAACTCAAGAATCGTATAATAATAGTTGAAAGGTCAAAATAAAACTAATGATAAGAGGAACACGAATATGATTAGTTATTTAACAATTATACAATAGGAAATATACATATTACATTGGTGCATAAATAGTCCTCAAAGTTACCATTCACAATTCTCTTCGGGATACAACACTATTAATATACAAAAACTGATTGTTTATTAAGCTTATCTTTCTCGTTTTTAAATAATTGTATGACTTGGGGTGAGATGTTTGTGAACAGCTTCTTAGACCATCTACCAACAGTTGAAGAATAGCAACATGATTAGGAGTGGATCGAGGACAAAAGTTAACGGGTTCCGAAAATCGACATGATTTTTTAAATTAATCTAGTGAAGAGTAAGTTTTCATGATATTTTGGTTATTAATTACATGAACTGAGAAAGTAAGTAACCGCTTTCCGAATCCACATTTTGCCAGACTAGTTGCTTAGTCGTATTCATTCAGCCTTTCAAATAGTCTTTTTAGATGAGTTAGACTCTCTGTCTCGTCTTTGTTAGCCATAAGCAGATATTCTTTATGTGCGTATGCAAACAGAAAACGCAGCAGAACTTGATTGATAAATCTCTGGAAGTTTTTCTCTGCACTTCTAAGGAAGAAAGGGGCGGTGATAGCTGTTTTCGGAATGTAGTCAGAGGGAATTGGTGTATGATGATGCTCTCTTACAAGTTCAAGTTTCGACAAAATGTTTGGATCAGGTGAATTGTTCATAAGGTATATAAATAAGGAAAAGCATATTTATCCTATCTCGTGCATCTTTTAAATCTTACATAATTATCATAAGGTCTCGCATCTGTAGCGTTTTTATCTGGGGTCGTCTTCACTGGTGACGCCCAAGGACTATTGGGAGGGCATATGATGCCTACAACCATTTTTGTTAAATTCACCCTTGAAGTGAGCAAGACGCTTAAGATCAAGACATCTGCGACGCACAAATCAGATAATCTCTTCGTCGCGATGCAGTGTCTTAGTGACCTAAGAGCGTGATCGCGGCACCCAAGGGACAACTGCTTGAGGTCGGTCACATACAACCTTTTAGCGAGTAATTTTTATGTTAGCCCCGTACTTGTTGGGACCTTACCTTTGGAGACGGAAATCCGTGGGATAGGGCGAGATGTGCATTTTTAGGGTCAATCTTTTCTAACACCACCCCTCCTTGTGGGAATGCAGAATCGCTGTCATGCTAGTTGTCTGAAGGAAACACCTTACTGCTGTCACACCTCTGTACAGTTAGCAGTACGACTTCGCCTTCGGACCTTGGGTTTGCTGCTTTTAGTCTCACCGCTCTTCAACCGATCTGTCTGGCATATATATATATATATATATATATATATATATATATATATATATATATATATATATATATATATATATATATATATATATATAAGACTACATACGTACAAAAGAAATATTTATGTTCTAAGTACGAGGTAGAGATTGTTGAATTCCACAGATACTTTATTAGCTCTCTATGATTACTTGAGAGTTCTTTTTCTAGGGATGTTTTAAGCTACTTGATAGTAGCATAAATGTAACTAGAAAAATATTCCCAACTGACTGACCACATATTTTTTGTGTAAATAAGCCCAGTTTGAAAGACAAATTTATATATTCTAAGTTTTACTTAGAACTATATCTTAAAAAAGCTAATCAGACATATCATAATAATAAGTTTCATCAAACAAAGAACATGAGAGGATAGGCCGAGCGAAATGTAGACAGAAGAACGTTCAACTTCTAAATTGCGCACAATCAGCTGACGTTTATCGTTTTAATCCTGATTTTTGTCTCCAAGACGAATTAGTGACCCATTTGGGAGTAACGTATTAAACAGTTTACTGATAACTTTGTCTCTGTTTTCATTCTTTTCTCGTTTTCAATATATTACATATTATGTTTTAATATCAGAAGAGGTTTTGTGGATATTATAGTAATTTTATTAGTTGAGATCACGAGTCAATTGAAGCTAGACTACCATGGAAAACCTGGAAGCACTGGACGGCCGTTTCGTCCTATTGTGGGACTCGTGCAGGTTAAGTATAAACATTGCTTAATAAATTCACTTAGTATTGTTTGTTTGAATTTTCCCATTGATGTTTTTAGGACCGCAACTGGTCAGTCTCTAATTGGTATATGTGCATATTGTCTCGATATAGCCTTAATTCACGGGCATTATAAGCAAAGATCGATAGTGGCTAGCAGTGGAGTCCAGTTTGACGCGCGTTTCGTCCTATTTGGGACTCGTCAGCTGGATGTACCTGCATCTCAGAGTTGATGTTAACTCTGGGACTCGAACCCAAGACCTTTCGCTTTAAACGCTATCACGTTATCCACTCAGCTCCTGAGTCCTGATAGCCATTTGCTTGTGGAATGGGGTGAAGTTTAAATTCAGTTAGTATTGTTTGTTTGAATCTTTCCATTGATGTTTAGGACTGCAACTGGTGAGTCTCTAATTGGCATATGGGCATACTGTGCGTATTGCCTCGATATAGCCTCAATTAACGCGATGACGTTTGAAGCAAAAGGTCCTGGGTTCGAGTCCCAGAGTGAACATCAACTCTGAGATGCAGGTACATCCAGCTGACGAGTCCCAAATAGGACGAAACGCGCGTCAAACTGGATTCCACTGCTAGCCACTATCCATCTTTGCTTACAATAACTGTTTATTCTTTTTGTCTTGTAGTCCTTACTTTGATATCAATTCCAATGGTAAAATATCATTTCAGTTTGTAATTATTTTATTATTATCTGAGTTATTTACTTGATTCGATAATTGTAGATTATGATCGATCACGTGAACAATGACCCTAAAATGAACGAACTTAATAGATTGACCTGGTTCTTTTCTTTTCTTTCTCTTTCTTTTTGGTTTGTTTAAACAATAAATTACTTCTTCTCATTAAAATCAGTTCGACTGATCTTAATCAAATATATAAAATTTGACAAATGATATTAAAATAATCCTCAATTAAAATGATAATCGTATCATAATTAGATCATATTACATCTATACAGAAATACCTTGTATATATATATATATCCAGTTAATGATGAACCGATCATAATCAAAGGTTACTTATTAATCATCTTCATATTGCAGGTCTAATTTTTTTTACCATTTATATCATAATGACATGAAACAAATGTGACATAGTCGAAATCATGAGTTAATTGAAGATAGACCACCATGGAAAACCTGGAAGCACTGGACATAGCACTGTGACATATTTTAGTGTTATGTCATTTTGCACGAATATGAATGTCTATTTGAACAATGAACTGGAAGTTCTAATCAGAAGACATTACATGTGAAATGAATCAATTTGAGATGTAGACAGTCGATGATGTAGAGTTAGTAAAAGGTTATTTGGGGGATCGATTAAATTTAAGATGATCCGAAGATATCATGTATCCTATCAGATCCGAAGGTTTCATACATTAAGTAATATCGTTTACAGGACTTTCACTTTCAGTTATCCCAGTGATATCATACGTTTAATGGATTAAAATCCAATATTCCAGTTATCTCATTATTGATATAGGGAAACGACATGGATCTACTGTAGATGATATCTTCACAGTGGAAATCGAGGATATTCATTTCAACAGAAGTAGATTATTGTCAAGGATTAGATTTCAGTTTCACTAAGTGTTGGGGATGTCAAATCCCCAGAACTTACTTGGTAAATGGCTTAATCTTGTAATTTTATTTTGAAAATTTGAATTTGGCTGTTTTCGCGCCAAAAGCGCTCTTTTTACCTTCACGTCATTTTCCCACTTGTAAACTATCTTAAACGCTATTGGTCCGTTGTTTCTTTGTGTGTGCTATTTACTAATAATGCTCAAGGACAATTTGTTGCTGTATAAATGCGCTTGACTTTTCCCCTTATTGGATTGCTTGTACTCGGCTGCTTACGGAATACATATATATTCCCCTACTTGCCTTGGACTTCTTCATCTAGTTAGCGGGGCCTGGGACAACCGATTAGAATAGCTTATCGTGTCATTGTGTCATTGGCTTTCGTTCGTTACCGCGGAATCGATTTAGTTTCAGGCATAACACTAAGTGATTTATAGATCAGAAGGGGATTTGTGGAGATTTCAGTATATATCAAAATTGAAATAATGAGTCAATTGAAGCTAGACCACCATCGAAAAACCACGTCTGTTGTGAGATAACAACTCACTGAAGACGGCCGTCCAGTGCTTCCAGGTTTTCGATGGTGGTCTAGCTTCAATTGACTCACGCTTCAATTATAGATATTTGATTAATTTAAAGTAATAATATAGATGTAGGTGAAGATAAATGGGAATAAATAAAAGTGGATGATAATTATATTTTATGTAGTATCACTAAAAATATGAAATTTTCACGATAGAATATCTGATCACATCCCTCTAAGACGATTTTAATACGATTCCATGTTTAATTACAATATGTTCAAAAATAATTGTTATGTAGAACACGAATATTCCTCGAAAAAAAGCCAAGAAAGGCCCTGTATACGCCAGGAAACATTATACCCAATCAGCATTCAATAGAAGTTTATCAAAAATATCTAGAAAGAGAAGAGTCATGTGTCACATTTTCGGTTGGATGATTGTTTAACCTGTTAC